GGCGGCTCCGCTCCCCTGGCCCGGCTCCCCTCGCCCGGCTTCGCTCGCCTCGCCCGGCCGCCCCGCTCCCCTCGCCGGGCTCCTTTTCCCTTCGCCTGGCGGCCCCGCTCGCTTAGCCCGGCTCCCCTCGCCCGGCTCCGCTCACGAGAAGACTTTGTCCCCAAATTAAGTGCGTTTCCTCCCTGGGATTCACGAGTGCCATTCGAGAGTACTTAGAGCCTGTCATCCTAGCCACTCTGGAGGCTGAGATCTGAGGATCGCGGTTCAAAGCCAGCCCAGGCAGGAAAGTCCGTGAGACTCTGCTCTCCAAGGAGCCACCAGAAAACCGGAAGTGGCGCTGTGGCTCAATGGTAGAGCGCCAGCCTTGAGCTGAAGAGCGCAGGGACTGCGCCCAGGCCCAGAGTTCACGGCTGGGCGCACCGAAGCCAACCCCACACCGAATCCCGGCTTGAGCCCACCAAGTGGCAGGCTATGCAGCATGCCAGTGTTTGCTGAGTGACAAGGGTGACCGTCTGCCCAGCAGCTGGGCAGGGTCATCTCACTATCCACACCACACCACTCTCCATTGTGAGTGAGAAACGGAGATTTACAGTGTGAACTGACAGAACAAAGTTACAAAGCACTGGCTTTGTTATGTCCCACCTGCTTGTGTCCTAGAAAACTCATAAATTGGTGTATAACCGCCAACATAGTGGAATCGGGAGATACTAGGTCTGAAAAGTGGTTAGGAGGACAGAATTCTCATACATGAAATTACTGCCTCTATAAAAGAGGCCAAATAAGTCGGATGCTTGTAGCTCATGGCCGTAATCCTCACTACTCAGGCTGAGTTCTGAGAATTGATTCAAAGTCAGCCTGGGCAGAAAACCCATGAGACTTTTATCTCCAATTAGCCAGCAACAAACTGGAAGTAGAGATGTGGCTCAAGTAGACATAACATACATTACCTGGAACTCTTCTAATTTGTAGCTTTATTGGGTCTGCAAAAATATAACTGCTGGCTCATGCCAATTCCTTGCTCCAAGCAAGGTGATGGCAGCAGAGGTACCAACATACAAGGCACTCCAAATTCTCTGCAGACACTGCAAGATCACTTGGGGATCTAACAAAATCCCTACAAACCCAACAAAGGTCTAGCACAAGGAGATAAAGTCCCAAAGGGGGAAGTGTCACAGAAGCAAACTCTTCAAAACTCATTAAAGATACCCACAATTTTAACTTCAGTGAACTCCAAGCAAGATTTTTTTAAATACAAGCAAACATGTCTGAGCACAAAACTGAACTGCTGAAAGCGGACAAAAATTCTAAAAGCCTGAGAACATATGCCCAGACCTGAAAGATGACAACAGAAAGGACCCTCAACAGAAATGAAGCTATAAAAGCAATGGAGGGGTGGAGGGGTGGCTCAGTTGGTAGACTGCTAAACAATGACCAACAGCTGGGAAGGTGGCTCAGCAGTAGAGCGCTTGCCTTGAACAATGAGCAACATCATCAGGCACTGAGCTCAAACCGTCTCATAAAAGAAGCAATGGAATACAATGCTGCCACAGGAAAAAACTTTAGAAATGCTAATAGCTTAATTTAGTATAAAAATTAACTTTTTGGTCTATAGGATCTCACCAGGTAGCCCAGATAAGTTTTTTTTTTTGGGGGGGGGTCCAGTCGTGGGGCCTGAACTCTGGGCCTGGGCACTGTCCCTTAGCTCTTCAGCTCAAGGCTAGCACTCTACCACTTGAGTCACAGCACCACTTCCGGCTTTTTTTCTTATGTGGTGCTGAGGAATCGAACCCAGGGCCTCATGTATGCAAGGCAAGCACTCTACCACTGAGCCACCTTCCCAGCCCAAGCCCAGATAAGTTTTGAGGTCTAGCTAAATAACCTAGTACATGTGGCTGAAGTGCTCTGGGCTCAGGGCCTCAAGTTTGCTAGGCTGGTTCTCTACAACTTAAGCCACACTTCCAAACTTACTTCTTCCTGGTTATTTTGGAGATGGAGTTTCAAGGTCTTCCCTGTCCCACTGAGATAAATGGTCCAGAGTTCAGCAGCTAGGATTACAGGTGTGAGCCACTGACAACTGGCCCCTAGACTTGGGGGGACAGGGAGGAGGCTGCTGGAACTTGGGACCTTACTCACTTGCCATGATGTTCTCACAGCTAGTGCTCTACCACTTGAGCTGTCTCTCCACTTTTTCTGCTGGTTAATTGGAGGTAAGTCTTATAGATATTTCTGCCCCAGCCAACCCCAAACAGATCATATTCTCAGATCTGTCTCCTGAGTAGTTAGGATTATAGGCATGAACTGGTGGGACCCAAAAACCCTAACACTGTTAAACATAAGATTCCTATGTATCACACACAACTTTGCTATAGTTTTTACTTATTAGTTTTGCACTTTATAAAAAATTATGGTAAAGCCGGGCGCTGGTGGCTCACGCCTGTAATCCTAGCTACTCAGGAGGCTGAGATCTGAGTATCTCGGTTCAAAGCCAGCCCGGGCAGGAGAGACCGTGAGACTATCTCCAATAAACCACCAGAAAACCAGAAGTGGGGCTGTGGCTCAAGTGGTAGAGCGCTCGCCTTGAGCTGAAGAGCTGAGGGACAGCGCCCAGGCCCAGAGTTCAAGCCCCACGGCCGACAAAAAAAAAAAAAAATTATGGTAAAACGAACTTAGTAAGATTGTGTGTGTCCTGGAGCTTAAACTCAGGGCCTGGATACTGTCCCTGAGCGTCAATGCTCTACCACTTGTGCCACAGCTCTACTTCTGTAAATGTACAGATAATAGTACAACTATTACCACTACTCATTTTCAGAACTTTCCATCATCCCAAATAACAGCTCTGTATCCATTTTTCTCTACTCCAGACTCATGAACCTCTTTTATTCTTTTTCTGAGTTTACCTATCCTATGTTCAAGGTGTTTTTCACCTACCCAACTGATGAGTGCTTGGACACTGTGAATACTCTGAACATTTGTGTGCAATTACCGCTTTCAATCCTTTCAGTTATTTATCATTGACACTTGCAGAAACACTAAACTTTTCCAGAGCAGGTTCACCAGTTTCTCTTTCCACAATGAATGCGGATTTCCAATTTCTACACATCTCCACCAACACTAGTTACTGTCTGACAATGCCACACAGACAGCTATGAGGCAGCCTGCTGTAGGCTGATTTAAATCTCGTTGTCTAGTAATGTGCAAAGTGATGAGTATGTGTTTCATGTTTGCTGTGCTGGAAATAGAACCCAGGCCCCTACATACGGCAGGTAGGCATTGTATCACCTAGCTGCACCCCAAACTCTTCACTGGTACCTCTATTAGGGCTCACTCCTGAGCCCGTGATGAAACTAAATTGTTCTATATATACACCATACCAATGGCCTGCAGATGATCTTATACAGTAGTTCTATCACACTTGCATTTTCATATGACCTATTCCATGAAGTCAGGTGTGAAATTTTCCAGTTAGTGTTCAAGTTTGTCAGGTGTCAGCAGCCCACACCTACCCTGGAACTGCACAGTGCGGCTGGAAGAAGCCTCCAGTAGGAAGCACAACACACATGGAACCCATGCGTATCCCAGCACACAGTGATTCCTGGGCCTAACCTATGGCTCCGCTTTACACATGGCTTCCCATGTGCTAACTCCTGTACAAGCAGTGTTCCACCACAGGTAGACCCCACCAACAGGAGGGAGATGTGAAGTACACACCTTGACAAAAAGCAGATTCTGGTTCAAAAATCAAGTGAATGCATGAGAAAGATTTTTGGTTCAAATTAATAGTTTATTTCGATCTTTAACACTAGCAGAGCAGTCCAAAACAGACTGATGTCCATGGGCATAGTTAAATGTAACAAAGAGTTGAACTATATACACTGATTGGGGAAAGGAAAAAGATTTTTTCATACCAACCTTTTCCTAGTTTGCACTTTCTGATTAACACCTTCTCCCCAACTTAATTTAGAATGAATACAACTATGATCAACCATGTAAGCTGTTTTAAAAGATTAAACATAAAAAGTTTTAAACAGGTGTTGCCAGGTGTAGAGGTCAACTGGCTGCAGGGTTTCCTTGGCTCTGGGTACCACTAGGACACAACAAGAGCATTTCATGAAGCCCAGAGGGAAAGAGCCATGATGTCCAAACAGAAGGCAGACCTGCACCGTGAGTCACAACAGGAGCTGGTGCTCCTTATTACTCTCACTCAAATGAACTGGAAATAGGTCAAACAGTTAAAAAGAGAGGATGGAAAGAAACTTTTTCAGAGGAAGGACACTCCTTCAGCCCCATTTAAAGTGAATTCTGTGCTGAGTCCCTGCTCCTTCAGAAAGGTCCACTGAAGGTCAGTTATTGCTAACAAAGCCCCAACGGGGCCCGCTCCCACCTTGACAATGTTACACCCCAAAGGCTGTTGGTTTGGCTTGCTCTTGAGAGGTGTGGAGGTGGGGGCTAGCTGGCCCTCAAGCCCTCTACGCTGTAAGCTACCCCATGCCTGGTACTCTCGGACACCTTGACACCTTCCAGAGAACCTGAGGTTCCCACACCTGCAGAGTGGAGCAGAGGTTTATGCAGCCTGATGGGGAGAGAGAACCACCATGCCTTGACCAAAATATATGGCGCAGTCTAAAGCCCAAAGCATCAAAACCCAACTGTCCAGAAGAGCAGCTTCTGAAGTAAGGAAGAGAGGTAAGAAAGCCAAGCGACGCGTCAGGTCAGGTGGCCAACATCTATTAATGGGACGACAGTGACCTGGGGAAATGCACGGAAAGTGAGCGGCTGGTAAGGCCACAATCACTGCCACCAAACTCTCGCTACCTACATTTAGGCAGATATTAGGCAGTGGGAAATGACTAGAGGACTTGTGGCCCACACAGGACTTATTTTATCAGAACAGAGGACATCCAAACAAGTGACTGCCCTATTGGCCTTGCATGTCCTGTGCCAGGTGAGTAACTTTGGAACACGGTTAAGGTTCCTGAGAACAGTTGGTGAGCAGAGATGGGGTGAGGTGGGCCCTGCTCCGCAGGCCAGGCTGGGTTGTGAGGACATTAGCAGTGCTACATCTCCTGGGCAGCAGAAGAGCAGGTAAACAACGGGCTTTATTGCACTCTCTTGTTCTTAGGAAACAGGATGCCCTGCAGAGAGGTTCTCTTGATTTGCAGAAAACACTGCACATCAATGGTAAGGTGCAGGCGGAATCATGGGTCACCTCTGACTCTCAAGGGAAGAAAGAACAACGTCCAGTGGTTAGACTGGGTCAGCTGGCACATGTCTGGCTGCGTCACTGTGTAGCAGACTGGTCGACTGGCAGATGTGTAGGAAGGTCCTGCTCCCAGGAGAGCTGGGGCAAGTGTTCCCATGAGAGAAATTTCTTGGCAAATATGTGGCTCCGGAAAGAGGCTCACCTCAATCATGTCTGTCTCCTTTTCTCCCACTCAGGGATAGGACCACTCCAGAGGAGCAGAGAGGCAGAGCGGGCTGGGAGTGCCCCTGGATCCAGCTCCAAAAGCATCAAACAGGGTAACAAGAGGATCTGAGGGTGTTGGAAACCAAAGAGCAGTTTTCAAACCAGTTGGTTTTGAAACAGTCGTTTTGAGCTCAGGAAACTGGAGGCAGTAGCATGTGTAGAGCCCAGATGGCTGTCTGTCCATTGTTCTCTCCTGAGCAGATCTGACCATTTCATATATAAATGGGGTGGTACCGTTTGTGGCTGATCTTTTTCCTACAAGTTGGGCAAGTGTTAGCATTCTTAAGGGAATCACGGAGGCACTGGCTACAGAAGACATGGCCACATTCTGTAGAAACAATCAGACGACCGTTCTGCACAATCTAGAAGACATGAAGAAGGAACAGTCTTCAAGTTTCTTCCCTTGTTAGAGGGTTCTACACCCCACCCGCTGCGGAGATTACCACTGAATGAGTAAAAAGGGAACAGGGCTATAGCCCGAAGAGCAGGAGTGGTCTACACAACCAGTCTCAGTCAAACGAACCACTGTGGTCTCTATTCAACAACGAGTTTCTGGGTAGAGGCAGTGGGAAAGTCATTCAGGGCCTCAGTACACACCAGACACTTCTGGCTGGACCATCACAGGGGACATAAAAAGCTGCTCTACATGCATAGGAAGCACAGGGCACACGGACTAAAACTGAAGTCTACAGGGCCCGAGTGAAACGGGCGCACACTTCTCTCACACACAGATTTACAATAAGCTATGTGCCAATTCAGGCACAACTACAAGTAGGTGTAAAATCCCACCTTAGGTGCAGATCTTGCCTTATCTGCATTTTTCTCTATTTTTAAACTCAGTGAAACAGATGAGAGCCAAAAGGTTACTTACCTCAGAGTACCCATCCATGCAGATTGGACAACTGACAGTACCGGAGGGCCTAAAATCACAGGGCTTTACTTCAGTTTCTCAGTACATTGAAACATCTGATTCCACCCTCTAAGTGGCCTTCATATAAGCCCCTTAATTTCCATAAGGTCCCTCTCCACTGGCGTCCTCAGACTACCTTATCCAGGGGACAGTCAGCTGACTGCCTCAAGGGGACAGGGTAGATGGCCATGAGAAAGGAAAGACAAGAACAGGAGAAGATGCAGACAGCTGAGACACCTTGTCCTCCCCCACCCCCAGCTACAAGTTCACTGCACACCCACCCCAACAATGATTGCACACCCAGGTCATAGTAGAAGTAAACAGGCCCAACCCTGCCTGGACAAGCCTTCTAGAGCTAAGAGCTCACACAGGTGCTGCACACACTTTTCTATAGCCTGGCTTCCCACCCAGTACAGCAACAGAGTAAATGCACATTGATACCTGGGGCCTGTGGTCCCCTCCTCCCTCGCGCCTCTGGGAGCGTGGGTGGTCACATACACATCTCTGTCCCTGGACAGCTCCTCCTCATCGCTGCTCACCACGCAGCTGTCCGCATGGTCTTGGCGCAGCCTTCTTGCATTCCTCCTTGGCCGCCTCCTTTCTACGGTCAAAGTGACATGTTCAGGGTGAAAGCTTCCCACACTCGCAACTCTCACCACCCACCATAGAGTCTTTAAGGACCTTTCCTCCCTGGGACCCCTAGAGTGAACATGCCCACCCTCCCACCCCACACTCTAGCCCAGAAGGCCCTGTCCAGCTCCAAATGATGCAAGCTTGTCTTCCAAGGAGGAAGCCTCCACTGATGCTCCAAGCTGGCGCCTGCGCTGGCTAGCTGCCTCAAGACCAGACTGCAGCTCAGTTTCTTCAGCAGGGCCCAGGGGACTGGTGAGATGGGTCTGGCCCAGGCATGTTCCTGCCTAGAGGTCTTGAACTCTTGAGGGTGGACTAGCAGGGCCATGACTTAAGCCAGTTCTCTTGGAAAGTGGAGATGAGCCACTCACCATCAACGATCTTTTAAGAAGGAGAAAAAGAAGAGAAACAGATCAATTTGACTTAAGTAAGTAATGGACACATTTCTTCTAATTCTGCTAATCCTCTGCAGCATTCTTATTCATCCCTGGCCTGTCCAATCTTGAGGGATTAAATTGGTTACGAAGCCAATTTAATTTTCCATATTAATATATGAAAGAGGAAAGTTTGCTTATAATTTATAGTCTCAAAGAGCATTCAGGAGCTGGAATGTGTTTCAGTGGTAGAGTGCTTGCCCAGCATGCATAAGGCCCTGGGTTTGATTCCTTAGCACCAGAAGTGGTACTGCAGCTCGTGTGGTAGAGCGCTAGCCTTGAGCTGAAGAGCTCAGGGACAGCGCCCAGGCCCAGTTCAGGCCTCAAGACCAGGAAAAAAAAAAAGGGGAGGGGGGGCAGCGGCTCGAGGAATGTTGTGAAAACTGCCCTGGATTTGGATGGAGATCTATGCACCAACTACACCAGTGCATTTTACCTATGGGATGAGTAGGTTCTGGAGTAACTGGCTGAAACCACCTCAGTTTTAGAATGAATATTTATCTTTTTTGGTAGGCTGTGGGGCCTGCACTCTGGGCCTAGATGCTGTCCCTCAGCTCTTCAGCTCAGGGTGAGCGCTCTACCACTTGAGCCACAGCGCCCCTTCCAGCCTTTTCTGTTTATGTGATGCTAAGGAATGGAACCAGGGCCTCACGCATGCAAGGCAAGCACTCCACCACTGAGCCACCTTCCCAGTACCTAGAATGAATTTCCATCTCACACTTTCCTGAAGCTGGACATAATTCATTGGAAACTCTGACCCTATCAGGTTTCTATAGTTTATTGAGCTTAGAGAAACACAATTTCAGACTTAGGGTTATTTCTACAAAAGGAATCATCAACTAATAAATCAGCATTTGGATTATGATAATCAACAAGTAGAGAATCGAAAATTCCTAGACCTCCAAGGATATACAAGGAACTGCATTCAACTAAAACACACATAAAATAGGCCTTGGGAAACTACCAGCTACGTGGGAGCCACTGTCCCCTGAGCCCATCTGTTCTCGGTCTGCGCAATGGCAACATGAGAGCCTAACAGCTTCCTTTTTTTCCCCTTTGTCTTGGGGGGGGGGGGGCTTTTTTAGACAGTCTCACTATGTAGCCCAGGCTAGCCTTGAACTTATGATCCCCCTGACTACTTCCCAGATACTGGGATGACAAGTGTACACTACCATACCTGGCTCAGCACAGTGGATCCTATTTAACCAAGACCAGATTGTGTCTGCAAAGGCCCTCCCCATCCTCACATGTTCTACATTCTTTGCCTCCTTCCCCTCTTTGGTGCCAGTACAACAGCTTGATTGAATTCAGGACCTCACAACTGAGTCCTCTTAGCTTTCCTTAAGACAGGATCTTGCTATGTCACCCAGATTGGCCTCCAGATCCTCCTGCCTCAGCCTCCCAAGTACTGGGATTACAGATGTATACCGCAACAGTTATTTCTACCCATGTTTTCCTTCTGAAGCCTTGAAACCTCACAGTATAACACTACTCTACAGTTCTTAGCCAAGTCTAAGCTCTATTTGTGGTTTGTCCTTGTTCTGACAGCCTGGTGTCAATCACTCATGGAAATCCCAAACCACTGAACATCCAATATAGACTAGGCTCTTAGCAATCTGCCCCAGTAGTAGTCCTACTTGACAACACGTGCCACACACATACTCTGTCCAAGGGGCCTTTGCTTTCATTCAACAAACTGCAGTAATGGCACGTGGCTGGAAGCCAGCCAAGGAAAGAAAGTCTGTGAGACACTTAAGAGTTAACTACTAGAAAATTGTAAGTGGCGCTGTGGTTTAAAGTGGCAGAGTGCTAGCCTTGAGCAAAAAGAGCCCCGGGACAGCACCCAGGCCTCAAGTTCAAGTCCCACTATGGACAAAAACAAAAACAGAAACTGCCTAGGGGGGAACCCTCAAGAGTCAAACCTGCTCTAGACATCAGTAGTTAATGGGGATAGCCAGATTTCCAGACTTACATACAGATAGGAGAGCGGCTCCATACCATGGGACCTAACCTCTACTTTCCTCTGACCATGCCAGGCCTCAGTCCCTACAGGCTGCATAGAGGACACACATTCCTTACCAGAGAAACAGCTGTTCTGAAGGGAGGGGACAGAGCCACCTAGACTCGCTATCCCTGGAGTCAAGACACAGCTAAAACAGCAGGTGGCAAGGCAAGCACCTGCTTCCCTTGGGGCCATGTTAACTGGCAACTGCTTCTGAACTTAAAGATTTCCCAGTGGCACTGTATGCAGGTGTCTCACACCTGTAATCACAACTACACAGGAGACTGATACCTGAGGATCACAGTTCAAAGCCAGTCCAGGCAAAAAAAAGGTCTGAGTCTTTGGCTCAAGTGGTAGAGTGCTGGCCTTTAGCAAAAAAAAGCTCAGCCCCATGACTGGCACCAAAAAAAGAGCAAATACTCCCAATTTCCTTCAGCTGGGAGTACACCAACACACTGGGTATACACGATACCGCCGACACTGGCAGCTTATCACCATTTTACAGACAAGTCAAGCAACATGTCCATGATCATAGTTCACTGGTGTAAGTGGAGGAATCGGTGACTAAGGAGACGTGGAGCCTTGAGATCCTCCACAGATCATATTTGTGCCTCGTGGTGCAAAGATCAGGGTCACAAATACCTACTCTACAGGCAGCAAGCCCACAATGTTCCTGAACCTTTTCTCACTGTGGGCTCCAGTCATCCAACATAAGCTCCCTTGGGGCACAGGGTAGGACCCTGACCAGAGACCTGTAACCATATCATCAGCTAACGATGCCAGCCAGAGACCCACACACAAATGCTTACCACCACAGAGTCATTATGAGTCAGATCGACAACCACTGGTTCCAAAGATTCACAGGTGAGGTCCACAATTTCATCTCCAGCTTCAAAATAAAGCATTTCCACAAGTTTTAGGAGAAGAATAAAAGTACATTTCCCTAAGTTTGATTAATACAAAATGTATATCAGTATCAAACTAAAATATTCCCAGTGCACAAAGTGCCTAAAAAAAAATGCCCCTTTTCAGAAGTGACGTCCCCACGTGCCCCTCCAACATTTTCCTGAGTTCAGAGAGAACTGGGGAGAACACCTTAAGCCTCCCTCCCCTGATTTCTCACATGCCTTCCAACTTGCAGAGAACAAGATGAAATGTATTGGTCCCATAGAATCCCATCATGCCAAAACAGGCTGGGCCAGTATGGACACAGAATGGGTAGGAAGGACATGTATACTTGACAGATAAGAGGGAAGGACAAAGTGCTCTTGCCATTTTTTGTTTCTGCCATTAAAAAAAATGTTTAGATTGTTGGAAACACTAATAGTCTAGTCTATCATTTGGGGACAAGTGACTTGTAACGCATTCAGTATACTCCCTTGTACTAAAAAGCTCAGCAGAAATAAAGATATCATAGATATCCACAGTAATTTTACTTTAAAAAAAAATTTTTTTTTAAGAACTGAGGCTTGAACCTAGACCCAAATCGTGCTTGACAGGCTAACACAAACGTTTTTGCTTGTATTCCTTATTGGGGAGTCTCAATAGCTTTGACCTCGAAATCTTCCTGCTTCTGCCAAATAGCCCAGACAAAGAGCATACACCACTATATCTGATCCAAATGGCCTCCTCCATGAAGAACGCTTGCCTGCCAAAATACCATCATTTACTTAGCTATTCTTTTTCCCATAGATACAATTCTTGGGTCTTACAAAAGCAGCACTCTAGTGGGCAGTTGAGTACACCTATTTTCAAGACTTCCAAAAATCATCAACTTAGGATGGTACCACACCTTTGAAGATGGAGAGCAAGAGTCCTAACTTCTAACTGAAGAAAGAGTGAAAGCTAGCTGGGCACCGGTGGCGCTTGCCTGTAATCCTGGCTACTAAAGAGGCTGAGATCTGAGGTTGGCAGTTCAAAGCCAGCCAGGACAGGAAAGTACATGAGACTCTTATCTCCAATTAACCATTAGAAACCAGAAGTGGTGCTGTGGCTCAAGTCGTAGAGCGCACTAGCCTTGAGCTGAAGGGCTCAGGGACAGCGCCCAGGCCCAGAGTTCAAGCCCCATGACTGACAAAAAATAAATAAATCAGGTCTGCTGTTCAAAACAATTTTAACATATGCAGAGGAAAGTGATTCAATTCAGGCTGTTTGACCATGTTGCTAGACAGGTAAAGGGGGAAAGAAAACCTAATCTGGCTTCTGCCTAAAACCAATTTAATGCGGGCAACTGCCAACAAGTTTGCCTTGTTGGAAGATTTTTTTGTCTTAATGAAAACCAGAAGAGAAAAGCAAAGCACTTCATCAGGCTAAGGACACTGGGAATACAATTTGAAAATTACAGAGGGTTAAAAGGCAAGCCTAGGGGCTGGGAAGGTGGCTCAGTGGTAGAGCGCTTGCCTTGCATGCATGAGGCCCTGGGTTCGATTCCTCAGCACCACATAAGCAAAAAGAAAAAAAGACAGAAGTGGTACTGTTGCTCAAGTGGTAGAGCGCTAGCCTTGAGCTAAAGCTGAGGGACAGCGCCCAGGCCCAGAGTTCAGGCCCCACAACCAGACCCCCCCCCAAAAAAAAAGGGGGGGCAAGCCTAGCTGACTAGCTGCTTCAAAACCCATAAAGGTGCTATGGGAACAGCGATGCTCAATGCAGCTTTAAGCTGTTGAGTCTAAGACTGTATGAGTCTTATAGACAGTGGCCGGAGCTTCTAACAGCTACCTTGTATGTGGCCATCACCTGCCACACCCACAGCTAAGTGTTTTGTAGTACAAACTCAACTTTACCCTGTGGGCACTATTATTTATCCCCTACTGCAGGCAGGCCGTGCCGCTGGTAAATGAGAGCAGTTAAGCGCTAGGCCCCTGCGTGCTCTCCTACTGCACCAAGTCCCTGCAGTCTTACCAGTTTCCATAAGCTCTATGGGTTCAGCTTCCAAGGAAATCTCAGGGGTGGCAGCTGCTTCCCGAGTTCGCTTCTGTGCTTGTCTAGAACTTACTGACCCACCACGACGCTTTCTCTGAAAAGTATCAAAGGGAAGTTATAAGAGCTCCAGAATTACAGTGTATCAGTAAAATTAAGAGTCAATATAGAACTGATTCAACTAAGATCTTAATAGCAATAAAAAAAAATAATAGGTCAGTGAACCAACCTCAAGTTGGGGTTAATGGTACATGCCTATAATCCTAGCATTCAGGAGGCTGAGGCACAAGGATCTTGAACTCAAGGCCAGCCTGAAGTTCATAACAAGACCATGTGTTAAAACAACCAAAGCCTTTGAGATTCAGGCTAGCTGTGGTAGTACATCCCTATCCTAGCACCAGGAAGGCTGGGCCAAGAGACTTAAATTCAAGGACAGCCTAGGCAACCTAACAAGACACTGCCTCAAAACATAGTTCAACAAAGTGGGGGGGGGGCACCCCGCACAGATATGTTAACTCTGTGGTAGAACACTTGCCTAGTGTTAAGGTCTGCCTAGGTGACACAGGTTCTGAGCGGAGACTTATGCAGAAGGCAGAGTGAGGGCTTGCATGGCACGGGGCAGACCTTACACCCAGCATGTGAGACCCTGCTTCCTTCTCCAGTATTACAAAGACAACTTTTAAGAAGCCTTCAGATTCGAGAATGAATACTTTCAAATGCTTACAGAAAGAATTTCACAACACAATGACAGTCTAGTGAAAATCTTTTATTACACTCTCACTTTGTCAAGAGTATGTGACACATCCTCTGTAGAAGCCTTAGTCAGTGGACATTCTGACCAGATGAAGGCTGCAAACATCTCCCTTTAACCCATCTATCGGCCTGAACCCATTCAAACCTTCCTTACCGAGCAGCATTCCTCTCTCCTCTCTATGGTGCAGGCTGACACTGACAGTGAACATGCTACCAGAGCTACATTCCCAACCCCTTTGACTTCTGAACTAAAGCATTATGGGGCAGGGGGCCAGCCTCACCTATACCCTCCAGCCTTCTCTTCCTTCCAGTTTCTATTTACTATGGAAAACTAGTCTTCCTTTAGGAATTATGGCGTCTAATCTCTAGAATGTTAATATTAGAAGTGTGATTCACTCTCTAACTCTCAAAGAGGATCAAATCTTTCTTAGCAAAACTGCCTGGCAGAACCCATCCACCCAACCAGTCCCTACTAAAGAAGTCAGCCACAGAAGCCAGGTGATAGTGGCTCACGCCTATAATCTTAGCTACCCAGAAGGCTGAGATCTGAGGACTGCAGTTCATTTTTTTTTTAATTTTTTTGGGGGGGTCCAGTTGTGGGGCCTGAACTCTGGGCCTGGGCGCTGTCCCTCAGCTCTTCAGCTCAAGGCTAGTGCTCTACCACTTCCGGGTTTTTTCTTTTTGCTTATGTGGTGCTGAGGAATTGAACCCAGGGCCTTGAGCATGCAAGGCAAGCGCTCTACCACTGAGCCACCTTCCCAGCCCTGAGGACTGCAGTTCAAAGCCAGCCTGGGCTGCGAAGTTCATGAGACTCTTATCTCCAATTAACCACCAGAACACTGGAAGTTGCACTGTGGCTCAAAGTGGTAGAGCACTAACCTTGAGCAAAAAGAGCTCAGGAACAGTGTCCAGGCCCCAAGTTAAAGCCCCATGACCACCACCACCAACAAAAAGACAGCCACAGGCTCCAAATCACGACCATTCCCATGAGGCTGGTGCTCCATCAGGTCTTCATGCCCTCCCCCCTTCAGTTAGAGACACTTTCCTGCCTAGACTGGCAGGACCTCAGAGCTCAGCCTCCTTAGTAGCAAGGATTCAAGACTCGAGCTCTTGATGCTTGGCTTTCTCCATTCCTTTTAATATGCATTTATTTGCAGCCTGATATGCTGTCTCTTTTCTTGGCCAATTCCTTCTGTTTCAAAACCTACTTGAAGGCTGCCTCCATCCTGAGAACTCTGGACCTTCTCATCTAGCTCTGCTTCGTAGGGACAAGGAGAAAAAGCCTGTCGTCTTGGGGTGGGCTGGACAGATCCTCGGTATCTGCAAACCCGTTAAGGCCAGGACTCTCTTCTTCACCAACTGTGCTGTGACAGAGGTCCACAGCTTTCCGGGGGAACAGCCCATCTAACCGTGATCATGGAAAATTACACCATAACTTAAGAATTGTAACCAACCTTCCCACACAATCTCCTAGAGGCTATACTGCTCTACTTGTTCTAATCCAGGCATGGTAGAGCTTAGCTTCAGAAATAAAACTCCCTACAGGCAAGCTAGGGGTACAATCTGCAGACAAAGGACTTAGGTAGGAAGGCCCCTGCCCTTTAAAGAGATGGGCAGACAGAAGTGCACAGGGAATGCAGGAAGAAACGAAGAGGCTCAGGACCCAAGGAGGCAGAACTGACCGAATCCCCATGTTCACCGTGGAAGCTGTCTGGCCTCAGGCCCAACTCCACCTCTTCCACCTTTGTAACACCGTTTGCACACCTCGGAAGCATGGGAGAAGAAGACTTTTCTCTATTTAGTTTTCCTGTTAAGGAACTCCATGTATCTCACAAAACTTGGGACCAAGGTTAAAGTTATGGTGTAACCTAGGGCACATGGACGGAGTCAACAAGGGCTTACAACCTCCGGGCACGCTCTGGAGTTCAACGGACTTTTGTCCACATCTGCATTATACCGAACTAGAGCTGTCCCCCTTAGCTGCGATGAAAGAGTGAGCAAGGACTGACTGATCAGTTTTAATCACTGAATGTAATCTTGTTATATAGCACAGACTGGTTGATCAGAATACTGTGTTTCTAATCCTCTGCCTTAATGTGCTTTAAGCTACACGGTTGTAACTGTTACTGAATCCTGAAAACAAATTTTACAAGTTGGTAAAACATACCGTACTCATTTTGTTCTTTGGCTCCAACGTATAGAAAAGCAAGTTATACCAGGGTTTGCAGTGAAGTCAAATGTTTTCAACTTCTTGTGTCCACTGGTTACTCATCCTCTGGCTTACAAAAAACTTAGAGCCTGATAGATTTCCAGTATCTTCAACTCCTGAAAAATAAAGGCATCAACTTGATAAAGACACTGCTGTACGTGCTCTTAAATCCTTCCTGAGCAAAGCCCCAGCCCATCCTGACCTCCTTTCTGGCTGCTGTAACCCTAGAAGAAGCACTGTGATAGTTTCTAGGTAAAGACAAACCTACGGCCAAGCAGAGTCCAAGCCCCTCCTGTGACTTCATCATTACCCTTCAGACAAGAAAAAGAGGCTGAGGAGACACAGCCCTCGGTTCCCATTATCCCTGAAAGACGTACAAAACCATTTAGACCATACCCCGTATCCACCATCATCTCTGGGTCCTAAACAGTACCTTATGTCTGGGTATACTTCTGTAAAAATGTGGGGTTTTTTCCTCCTACATAATTACTTAGCTCAAAAGATAAATACATTTGTCAGGAAAAGCATGACTCCATTCTCCTACCTATGATTCCTATGTTACTGAGATTACAAAGGTCAACCACTACTCCTGGCTTGTTTTATGAGATAGGGTCTCATTAACCTTTTGCCCAGGCTGTTCTGAAACTTCAATTCTCCCCAATCTCCATCTTGTAAGCAGCTGCCATTACAAGTTAGAGCCATTCTATTTCTGTTAAAAGCTCATTTATTTTTTTCCAACAAAGCTACTGTGGACCCTTACAGTGTCTATCTACTCCAACTCTCTATAGGAATGTTAACATATCTGCCATGTGGACATGAAAGTGCATCTCACACAAATGGTTAGAAAGTGTTAGGCAAGCAGGAGACAGGGAGGGCTGTTAGGCTGGAATTAGTTTCCATTACCGAGAGCAAAAAAGGGAACCGTTAGAAAAAAAGGTAGGCTGGGCACTTCGGCTCACACCTGTAATCCTAGCCACTCAGGAGGCTGAGATCTGAAGACCAAGGTTCAAAGCCAGCCTGGGCAGGACAGTCCATGACACTCATCTCCAATAAACGACCAGAAAACCAGAAGTGGCGCTGTGGCTCAAGTGGTAGAGTGCTCGCCATGAGCTAAAGAGCTCAGGGACAGCGCCTAGGCCCAGAGTTCAAGCCCCAAGACTTACCCTTCCCCCCCCAAAAAAAAGAAAGGAAGAAAAAAAAAGGAAAAAAGGAAGGAAGGAAGGGTGGAGGACATAAAAGATGAACTGAAAGCTGTTCAGATGAGCAGCTTTTGGTTTAGCCCAGGCCCACAACAAGAACAGAGTCCTCAAACCCATCAGGGCAGGCCTGATGGAATTATATACTGAAAATCCGGAGACTGTAATCCCTCAGTTGATTCCACCTGTGATTACCAAGCAACACAGGTCTCAGATCTTGTGCATTTCCCATGAAAGGATGCTCAGGCACAGAGGCCACTCTTCGTAGCAATTATAAAGCAGCACTTCTGAGTTCAGAGTGGTCAAATGAAGACTATCTTAAAGAACTATATGGATCCCAAGTTGGAGGCCAGTACATACTACAAAACAAGACTTTCACAAAAGGGATGTGTGGTTTAGTGGTAGGGCTAGCATGTGTGAGGCCTGAGGTTCAATCCCAGTACTGAGGGACAAAAATTGTCCATGAAGTTTCATTTCAAAGCTTTTTTTTTTTTTCTGTCAGTCATGGGGCTTGAACTCTGGTCCTGGGTACTGTCCCTGAGCTCTTCAGCTCTACCACCTAAACCACAGTCCCCTTCCTCAAAGTTTCTTAACCAGAGTCACATCAATAACCACATCTTATTAGTACTCAAGAATATAAGCTTCTTACCGAAAGTAAGTGGCTCACACCTGTAATCCTAGCTACTCAGGAGGCTGAGAGCTGATGTTCGCAGTTCAAAGCCAGCCCTGGCAGGAATGTCTGTGAGACTGTTATCTCCAATAAACCACCAGAAAACCGGAAGTGGCACTGTGGTTCAAAGTGGTAGAGTACTTGCCTTGAAATGAAGAGCTCAGGGACAGGGCAGCACCCGGGCCAAGAGTTCAAACCCCACAACCAACAACAACAACAAAAAAGAAAGGTAGGAAGGAAGGTCAGCAGTTACAGCTGACCATGTGAGTCCTGTGTATCTGTGTGTTTTCTTTTTTGTTTTGTTGTATTTTTTTGTTGTTGTTGGTCATGGGGCTTCAACTCCGGGCCAGGGCGCTGTCCCTCAGCTCTTCAGCTGAAGGCTAGTGCTCTACCACTTGAGGCTCAGTGCCACTTCTGGTTTTGAGTAGTTTATTGGAGATAACAGTCTCACAGACTTTCCTGTCAGCACTGACTTTGAACTGCGAACCTCAGATCTCAGCCTCCTAAGCAGCTAAGATTACAGGCATGAGCCACCAGGGCCCAGCTTTGTTTTCTTCTTTAATGTAGGAAAAATACCTCTTTCACCTTGAGCTATATTCTGGAACAGGCTGAATCCAAATGTCCACCCCAAAGGCAATTCCCACAGCTGATTAATTCCATAACTATATGCAGGTAATCAAGTGCAGCTACTGCTCCAGAAACTACCCCCTGCAAAGAAAGCAAAACCTACCTAGGTACAAGCACCTTAGATAAAATGATGGTGTTTACATACCTTCTACTAGATCACTAGGTTACTTAAAATGTCTAGTACACTGTAAATCCTATATATAGTTGCTCTGCTGTATCCTTTAAGAAACAATGAGAAGGAAAAAGTCTGTAGGTGTTCAGCACAGGACGCACTTCCCCTGCTGCTCAGTATTTTCAGCCCTTGGTTGAACTGGCATTGAACCACATAAAAACATTTGCTCATGATATATTCTAACTGAAGAGATTTATATGTAAATGAAGTAATAAATACCTAAAATAAAATAGTCAAGGGTCATAGTTCTTACAGGTTTGAGTAATACTAATGAAAGTAAGACAAACCTTCAATACCAGGAAGAATTTCAGAACTGTTTCTGGCTCTCATCTATTTCCAGAAAAGACTTGTTAACATACAGCTAATCATAACTGCTCTGTACAGGATTCAGAGGAGGCAGAAGAAAATGGGCACAGATACAATGCCAAGGCAGCCTGTACCATTACTTTCTCCTAAAAGCAGTGTGGGATCCCTGAACAATGACCTACCCAGAAGTTTTGGGGTACTGAGGATTGAACCCAGGACACGGCACCTAACAGAGAGGCGCTATGCCACTGAGCTACACTGGCAACCCCACTAGAAGCTTCTGTCACCTTTGTGGGGCGGTCCTAGGTACTATCCCTGAGCATTTATGTTCACAGCTAGCACTCCAGTGCTTGAGCCACAGTTCCACTTCTAGTTTTCTGGTGGTTAACTAGAGATAGATGTTGCACAGAATATCTTCAGTAACTTTCCTGCCCTGGCTGGCTTTCAACTGTGATCCTCAGAACTCAAGACTCCTGAGTAGCCTGGATTACAAACATGGGCCTTAGGCACCTGGCCTCCCCTGTAATGTTTGCAGGAGCTAGATGAATTTGTCAAAGCAGGAAATGGCACACTATGTGTATAAAGGAAATAAAGCATGTTTTATGCTGAGTAGCTGGGCCTTTCATTCACTTATCTTAAAAAGCTTGATGAAACCTCCATAAGCAAGCAGGCCACAGCTAAAATCCCACTGAAAGGACCATGAGATCTAAGCAGCTGGGCTCTTGAGAGCCTGATACAAAAAATTCCTTGGAGCCAAGACTAAGGGTAATATAGAGGAAACCTTAAGGATCCAATAATGCACTGAGGCCAAGAGGCAAATCAGTGCTGAAGGACATCCTCCCTGCAAGACGCAAGGTCAGCAGATCCTAAGACTACAGGCCACAACACTCACAGAGGGCAGGCCCTATGTTGATGGCAACCTAGCATGAAGTTTAGCCTGAACCCAAGATTGGGGTGGTGGGAAATGTGTGGAGCAGTTGTCAGAACCCTCTAGAGCTAGTTCTTGAACCCACAGCCGCAGCAGTGGTACATAGGAACCCTTCAAGTCTACTTGGAGGAATGAGAAGAGGCTTCTCAAACAGCACTGCCCAAAAACTCCTCAACTCAGATCTCCTCTGGGACTGTTAGATCCATCTGCCAGCATGTTATACTGTTAACAGAGTGCTAGCCACACTCAATCATCTAGGATCAAGACAATGAGATCCAGCTCATGCTTGTGACAAGAAAGACAAGCCCTAAAGCAGATTCTCTTCTAGGATCTCTCAACACAATCTGGGAAGCAAACTAAGTCAACAGCCCCAAGGAAAACAAAGAAAACCAACCTTGGCTACAACAGCAATGCTAAAGAAAGCAAAAAGGGGGGCTGAGAAGGTGGCTCAGTGGTTAAAGCGCCTGCCTTGCATGCCTGAGGCCCCGGGTTCCATTCCTCAGCACCACATAAGCAAAAACAAAAAAGCCAGAAGTGGCGCTGTGGCTCAAGTGGTAGAGCACTAGCCTTGAGCTGAAGAGCTGAGGGACAGTGCCCAGGCCCAGAGTTCAGGCCCCATGACCCGACCAAAAAAAAAAAAGAAAGCAAAAAGGCTTAGTGGAAGCGCAAAAAGCAGTGAGCCCTAGGCAGTTAACTTTCCTGGGGTAACTCAAAGGCTCCAAGAGATCTAGGAATACACAGTGTCAAGTGCTCTGAAAGATCTGCAAGGATTATGGTTATTGCCCAGACTATGGTCTTTGTTTTCAAACCATCCTCTCTTCCCCAGCTTGCACTGTCTGACTTCATCTCCCTTTATAGCCAAGCAATCCGTACAAAACCACCTCACCACACAAACATCCTCACAACCTGAGAGAAAATGGAGTAAAGGGGCAAAATACTCAAAAGTTGGACCCCCCTCACACACAAAAATAACAACCACCTTGTAAGAAAATAAATAATTATGACAGCGGTATGCTTGCTGTGGATATAGCTCTCACTCAATAGTTCAACGAGCAGGTAGTGGATATTCAAGGTGAATAAACCAAGCTTTTTTTGCGGGTTTTTTTTGTGTTGTTATTTTGTTTTTTGGGGGCCTAAACTCTGGGCTGGGCGCTGTCCCTCAGCTCTTTACCTCAAGGCTAGCACTCTACCACATGAGACACCTACGTAGCCCCTGA